ATGTGTTTACTTTGACAAAAAAAAGGAAAAAGTATTTCACTCCTCTCCTAGCCTATGGCTGTCTGAACACTTTTGTCAACATGACTGTGCTGCAGTGCTGTAAATCTGTGAAATCTGCCTGCAGAAAATGTACACACAGTGTTAACTTTATTTAAAACATACAACTGCACCACAGACCTAATTTCCCAGGAAATATGCTGAGAGTCCTACAGCCCTTTTAGACTCATTTTATATACCTTTCCCAGAGAAAATATTATGCACAAAGATCCCTAACAGGCAAGCAGAAAGACAATAAAATCCTTCAGCTAAATGCTAAGCATGAACAGCTACATTGCCATGCAATCATACAATGCCATTAATGATTTACATCAGGAAATGCCAAAGTAAGAGAGAACACACAACCTTATCTGCTCCCTGTGTACATATGCAGGTTACAAGCTTTGGTTAAATTAGCTGTTTGCATGGCATGCAATGGCTAAATGGGGTTCTGCTGCTCAGCCTTGGGTGCTGATCTTGTTTAACTTCAAAATCTGTGTCCACTGACTGCACAAGTGGTATCCGAAATTGTTCGTAGCTGCTTTTTCTTTATCTTGTGGAATTTTTGTCTAAATCAATTATACCATTTAAGGGAAGGTGTTAAAAAATTGTTGATTGGAGAACATCATACAAGGCATTTCTGCCTATCTTTAATCATATTTTAAATGACAATCTTCTGAAACCTGGAGGGAAAGTTTCCTAATAGTGTCTGAACACCATGTAATCACTTCTTGATCCTCTGGTAGAGATGTGCAAGTGACTGAAAAAGTTCTGGTTAACAGGATTCCAGAGCAACTTCTCAGATGAGATTCTCCTCCAATGCATTTGATTTTTCCTTAAGAATAATCTCAGATGGTTTTCTGCTGTTGTTGTTTTCAGTGCTAACCTGGAAGATGTTATCTCCCAAATAACAGGAACCAAGTCACATCCAATACAGTGCCATCTCACTGCATTTCTGTGAGTCTGCTAAGCTTCTAGCAAAACCAGGCTGTGTGTTTTGCTATAACCCTACAGCCACCTCTGCACCTCGAGGTCTACTCCAAGGCACTCCTGAAAGAGGCACGAATGGACCCAGTGAAACCCCTGCATACAGAGTTTTTCTGCCATCTCCTGCAGGATACTCGAAAGTTGGCTTTGTCCCTTCTGAACTGCTTATTTGTTTTCAGAGGAGATGGGAGATACATGCGTGAAGTTTACTGACATAGACCTGAGATGCACGAGTCTTTTAATGTGCAGAAATGCTGTCAACTGATACAGAAATGTCCTAAAACACCCTCTGCTTTTATTAGTACAGATGAGATGCAGAAGCTGTGCAGACAAATCATGAGAGCCAAAGGCTTGCCCAATAGGTGAAGTTACACGGTACCTCGTGATGATCTAACAGCACCCGGCAGCCTCTGCCTCCCATGCTGTTTATCTGTTTGCCACCAGGTGAGCAAGGGAAACTGGTTCAGCACAGGGTCCGACACGTGTCAGGGCTGGGAGCAAAGCAGGACTTCCCCTTCTGGCACCAACACGGCGCAGTCAGCTCGGCTGAGGCAGCTGTCTCTCAAAATAGCCTGCACATTTTGACACCCAAGTTAATTTACAACCTGATAAATGGGGGAGAACTCACAGCTCTTAGGCTTACTCGCAATTTCTACGCAATTGGCTGGAATGATGGAAGACTTGACAAGGCAAATGTGTTCAGGCAGGAGCACCCAGGCAGCTCGCTCCCCTGGCCTGTGCCGCTGGTGGGACGCAGATAAATGCAGAGGAGAGTGGCCGCATGTTCAAGAGCCATGGACGTTTTCACAGCTCCAATTAATCTGCTTAAGGCAGAAGAAATATTCTGTGAGACTGAAGGAAGCGAAGCAGTTAACAAGTACATGAGCTTTGTTACAGGCCATTGTCAAAAGAAGCACTGAATTTTAAAAAATATTAGCAGAGGCTTAGTATTTAACACTTTAAGTAGCAAATCCACAGCAAATCCTCCTGAATTAGATTCAGAAGGTATGCATAAGAGGTATTTAACTTAGTTTTCAAAGGCCTCTCGAGTGCTGTCTTATGCTCTCTAACAACACATCCAACATAATGCTGGCTCCTGGAGCCCTGCAGAGCAGGTGACATCCAATGCCTCACAGGCCCTCTGAACTCACAGATCTCTTCCCAGAAAGCAAACCATTTATTTGTATGCATCCCCCCTTCTAAACTTCAGCAACCTAAAAGTCTCCATAAGGCTGATCTAGCACTAGTTCTGTTCTGTTACAGGAAATTTGCTCAAGAGTTGTGCTTGTTACCGATGCTACCACTGAAAGCAAAATGTTCACAGAAAAAAGAAAAAGCACCTCCCCATTTGCGCACACTGACTCTGAACAAGGAAGACAGCAGCTGCAGAGACCTACCTCAATGTAAGATTTTCTTTGCAATGCTTTAGGTTTAAATTAAGTAAAGACTCACCCCAGTGTGCAAATTAATTAACTTTTTTCCAATGGCTCCCTTTCATTTTACCTCCACAGTCCACAGATGCGTTGGGATGGTGTTCTGGCTGATTTCTGCAGGACTGGTGTGAGAGCTGAATATTGCTGTGCTTGGCAGGCTCAGAGCAAAGCCTGCCCTGCTTTTTATAAAAGCAAGACCAGTAAGGAAAAACAGCCAGAATCCAAACAATAAAAAAAAACCACCAGCTTATCGCCCGAAATGAAGCTTTACAAAGATCCTTGTGAGGAAAGAAAACAAGGAGCAGTCATAACACCACTTACTTCAGCAAGAGAATTGCTACTGCAGACGTTCCGGAGGTGCTGATACCTGGGGCGGGGAGAGGAGAGCCGCCCGCACAGAGCACAGGCTGGTGGTGTCCCCTCCAAGCCAGACACACCAACTCCTTACGCCCTAAAGGTGCTTTGCTGGCAATGACACCACCACCACTACAGGGAAAAACACCCTTAAAAACAAAAACAAGCCCTATCAGTAAAAGCGCACTTCTGCAGATAACTGCATCTACAGCAGGGACTTCTGCTGGCACAGCTATGTCAGTCACGGGTCACACCTCATCACAGCGCTTGCAGACAGAGCTGTGCCAGCAGAAGTTTGCCATATAGGCCTGGTGTGAAGCTCAGTGGCTCTAAATGAATCTGCAAAGTTTCGCGTTTCTCATACTGCTGCCAAACAAACTTTTTCCAGCAGACTGACAACGGGTATTTCTACTCCTTTGTCATGGGCATGTCAGCATCTTGGTTTCTCAGGAGAAAGGAAACCTAACCTCAGCTCAAGGATGTGGCAGTACCTATCATCCACTTACATCGTACTTTATGCTTCAATGAAATTCACCCACTAAATTAGAAAGCAAGAGCCCTTGCAGAAAGAAAAGGCAAAACTGAATAATTTCTGTTCTGTTCAGCACTCGTAGTGCTACAGCTCCTCATTTTTTGTAGTGAGAAAAGAACAAAACTGAAAGTGTTTAAGGAGGCTTGCTTAGCGGGCAGCACAGTGCTGCAGAATTCCCAACGCTCTGCCTGACCTGGTGGTCACGGGCCTTCTATCATCCCCAGTCGTCTCTGAAGACAGTGGGCAAGGAGATTTCACGCCTGAGTAGATATTGGAACATAAGTTCTGTTCGGATGAATCAACACAGTACTGTGGGCCACGCATATGGTGATGCACAGACACAACAAGGTACGGAGCAGCACGATGTCATCAGCGCACACCACTCACCTACTCCAGAGCAAAATGACACAACCAAGTAGTAATGTCTCACTATCCTCGGCACGGCACAGAGAGCTTGAGGCATTTGCAGTTCATGGCCCTCAGTTCGGAGAGTTTTGATAAGGCACACACTGGCCTGCAACGTGGTGCGGTGGAAACGGAAGGGGCCACGCAGGGACCTGTGCATGCAGAGCTGCCTCTGTCAGTCTGGAGTGCTGCCAGTGCACGGCCAGGCCCAGAGGGCTGCCCTGTGGATGGACAGCACTCTCAATAAAAGGTTCACCATCACATCACGTTTTGGGAGAGAGAGACAGGGAGGAAAACGCTGGTGGTGCTGTGTTTGTAAAGGCCACACTCCAGCCCTGCCAAAGCCCTTTGGCCTTCCACTTGTGGGTGCTGCTTCTAGGAACTCGTAGGCTTTCGTCACAGGGATGACGCTCTTATTGGACACAACACACTTTGTATTTCTTTGTTAAAAAACTTGTACCGGGGTGAAAACATCTCAAAGGAATGGCAAACACTAAAAATAGCTGCGTTATCCTTATTTTCATTATCGGCCATGTCTACACACGCCAGGAGCAACTCAAGACAAGGTGCTCCCCTCCGGGTCAACTCGGGGCTGGGGGCACGCGGCTGCGCTCGGCACAGCAGGGGCAAAATGCCCTCCCCACAGACCGCGTTTGGACACGGGCCTCCCGTCCCAGCGGTGGCCAATCAACACAACTTGCGGCTCCCAAAAGCGGGCACTCGGTCTCCTCCAAGTTTCAGCAGCAGGAGGACGAAGCTGCTCGCCCCGAGGTCCCGGGAGGTCATTCAGAACGCGGCCGAGGTTTCGGGCGGTCGGACAGCACACGGCGGGACGCGCTCCGCCATGTTCCACCGAGAAGTTTACGAAGCAAGCCCCCGGACAGCTGCCACAGACTCGGACGTTCGTGCACGTCCTCGCCTCCGCCAGCACCCGAGCGCGATGCTGCGGCAGGTGAAACCCCCCGGAGAGAAGCAGCGCTCCCCGCCACACGGCGCCCAGTGTGTGAGCGGCCGGCCGTCCCGGCGGTGGGCCCGCGGAGCCCGCACGGCCGCGCCCGGGCCCTGGATCGGAGAAGACGCGCGGTTCCCCCCCGCCGCCCCGCATCCCCTCAGCGCGGCCTCCCTCCTCTCCCGGGCGGGCCCGTCGCCCCGCAGCCGCCCGGCCGGCCGCTGGCCCCGGTGCTGGCGGGCGGCGCAGGCCCCGACATGGCGGCCCCGATCCCCGCCAGGCCCCGGCGGGCCGCGGCGCTCACCTGCATCCGGCGCGGCGGCGGCTGGCGGCGGGGCGGCGGCGGCGGGGCGGCGGGCAGCAACGACATGCAGGCGGCGGCCCGCCGGGGACGGGGAACGGGGCGGCGGCGGCGGCGGCGGCGGCGGCGGCGGCGGGGAGGAGCGGGCCGGGGCTCGGGCGGCGCGGAGGGCGGGGGAGCGGGAGGTGGGGACGGGAGGAGGAGGCGGCGGGAGCGGGGCGGGCGGCGCAGGGACCCCGGGGCGGTGCCGGGACCCCGGGGCGGTGGCGGGGAGCCCCCGGCGGGCCCTGCGGGGCGGCGGCTGCTCCTGGGGACGCCAGTGGGGCCCCGATCCTAGGGAGGGAAAAGAGCCCTCCGTGGCTAATTGCCGTTAATTACAGAGAGAGGCGTCTGACGGGGCGTACGTGAGGAGCAGGTCGCCCCGCGAAAGGCCTCCGGCGGTCGCAGGCGGGCTGAGGAAGTGACTCAGGTGTCGGGGTGACGGGGCCCCGCGCTGAGCGTGAGCCTGCGGGGGCGTAGGTCTTGTCTGCCATCGCCTCCTTCTCCACGGGAGGTGTCCCCCTGCTGCGAAACCCTCCTCGGGTTTCCTGCGATCCCCCTCCACGGGTCTCTCCGCAGACCCGTGTCAGAGGGCGGACGGGGCAGGTAAATGGTGTGCCGGCATTGGAGCGCGGTGTTCCCAGCTGGGCGTACCAGAGGTGGAGGTGGCCTTCCCGCGGGGACCGTTCCTAAGTTCTAAAAGAAAATATGTGGGTGTAGAGTGAGGGAAAGTGAATTATAAAAGGGGAAAATAAAAAAAAATAATAAAATAAACAAGGGCAGAGAAAAGTGCAGGTTGCTGTGCGTTCACGTGTGGGACCAGAGATGCTCGTATGTGCTCAGAGAACAAGGAGCACAGAAGGAGCCTCCGTGGTAGAGCAAAGAGTTCAGACAGCTAATGGGCTCCAGTGTAAACGAGTAGTTGGGAATGGGTGCACACACACACAGAGGAGGGAAGAGTGAGAGAGAAAGAAAGAAAAAAATGTTCTTCTTTACTGGGATGTGTTTTTATAGGAGCAAAGTCACGTGATGCCTTGGAAAGGCATTGGCGCTGGCTTCTTTGATAGGAGTGTGCCTTTAGCTGTTCTGGTCATTTCCTCTCCTGAAAAAAAAAACCCACCAAATGGATCGGTGAAGGAGGATTGTGCCCTCCCTTCTCCCGTTGCCAAGGTTAATCATTCTGTACATCTCCCGGCTCCCATTACAGGCCAGGGCCTCGCCACCCTCACCTCAGGTATTGTTTCCTTCCCTTCTCAAAAGGGAGCGTAACTGAGAATCCAGGTTGTGCGAGTGGCCTGCCTGGGGTCACTGCTGGCAGGACCAGCACCTCCCGGGGCCTCACTAGGCACTTGTACTGCACTTGTACTTGTACTGCAGCCTCCCCAAGGCCCCGCTTCCTCTGCAGAATACATTTGTTACATCTTGATTCCTCGCTATGCTATAGTACAGAAGGATTATTAACAAATTATCTGTGAGCCAGTGCATCCTGCATAGGGCCAAAATGCACGGTCTGGAGCAGTGACGCTGTGACAAATGGGGAGCTCAGAGTGGATTCAGAAGTTTTGTAGGAACAGGATGGAGGATGCGGGTTGTTACGCCACCATAGGCACACGTTAAGCACTCACGTGGTAGCTCTTGCATTACATTTGCCGGAGCTTTAGTATATACATAGTTGCTTAATGCCCATAAAAAAAAAAGAAACCTCTTTCCCCCAGCCTGCTTTAACTCTGCATTTTGAGTTTGTGCCTTTCCATACTGGTCACCAAGACTCTTTAACCAGGCCGGTTGTTTCTTCCTGTCTCCCTCAAACCTTCCCACTTTCCTTGATCCCTTTCTAGGACATGTAGGTAAGCTGCCTTGGAGAAACGCCTGTAAGGCTTGTTACGCTGCATTTTGCATATGCTCCTCCGATTTAAAAATAACAATTCTAGTCCAAGAGGCTCCTGCCGCGTTTAGGAACGGAGCAGGAAATGTAAACGTCAAGCAGCTGCACCGCGGTCCCCAGGTGCGCGCAGCGGCTTTAAGCCGGGGCTCCGCAGGCGCAGCGCCCGCCGGACGTCTTTTGCGTTGCACCGCGGAGGCTGCGCAAGATGGCGGCGCCCGGAGGCGCGTTACTGCGGCGAGGTGAAGGCGCTCGGCCGCCGCCACCACCGGGGCCGGGAGAAGCGGGGAAGGGAGGCGGGAGGGCTCCTCGCGGGGCCGGGCGCCTGTCTGAAGCCGTGCGTGCTTTTCTCCGCAGTGCTGACCCCGTGCCGCCTGTGGGCCTTGCCCGGGCTCCAGCAGCGTCCCGCCGCCGCCCCGCTGAGCGCCGCGCCGCCTGTCCGCCTCTACGCCGCGGCCGCCGAGTGAGTGTGTGCTGGGGGCTGTCGGCGCTGCCCTCCGCTGCCTGCGAGGAGCTGGAGGCTGCCGCGAGGCATCCTTCGGCCTCCTCTAGTCTGAGCCGAGCGAACCGAGATGCCTCAGCTGCTCCTCTCACGTCTCGTCCTTCAGATTCTGACATTGTTTATGTTGGCGTTTCTTGAAGTCTAATGTCACTGTCGAAGTAGGAAAGGGGAAAAAATGAGCTCAATGTACGGAACAGTGGAGTGCACAATATGCTGAGAGCTCTGAAGAGCAGTTAATTTCTCACCTTTTGCATTGTTATTATTAGAGAAATAGTGTCTTTCTCTGCCTGAAGTGTTTTTCTCAATGAATTGAGAGCCTGATAAGGCAGGTAGGATTATATAAGGATTGGGGCTCATTTGTTAACTGCACTGGAAGTTTGTTTTCTGGCTTGGCCATTGGAGGCAAGTAATTAGACTGAATTTAGGGATGCTGCTTGTTACATGTAGAACCTACCTTTATAACTCTTTGCTGATTAACTGATACTTAACAGTATCTATTTCTTTCTCTTAAAATATGTAACGCTCTATGGTTGATGGGTTGGGTTTTTATTGTTTGTTTTTTGTGTTGCATGCTTCAGAAATGCAAAAAGAGGCTCACAAAAGGCCAAGCAGGAAGAAGCCCAGAAGAAAAAAGGACGTGGCAGGCGGCCGTTGCTGAGCAAGCCTGTGGATGATGTGTACTTGACGTGGTACTACGAGCGACCATCCTACAATGTAGAAGAAGCTGTGGGTATGTTAAAGAAATTTCAGGAACTGGACTTCACATACCCAAAACAGTTTGTGTATATTAATGTGACCCTAGATATGGAACTGCAGAAGAAGGTAAGTGGGAAGTGGCTACTAATTCTTGTATTTTCTTTTCATAATGTGAATAGTTGTTTTAAGTTTAGAGTAAATGTTACCAGTGGTCTTCTCATCTGCCTTTGCAGATGCTCTGGCTAAGCATTGGAATGCTGTTTGTGTTTGCAGGTGACTTTATTCTTTTATTGTGTGTATGCTTATTTAATAATGTTTAAGTACTTGGGGTGAAGATGAGTGTCTTCAGGAATTATGGAGGTCAGCTATTATGTGTCTGAAATTCACATTCAGACAAGACCGGTCAAACTAAGATTTACACCTACTTGAGCTTTCCACCTAGATTATCACCTCAGATGTGTGTTTTGTTCTGGAATGATTGTTATAGGGAAAGGTCTTAGTTTAGCTGCTTCTTATCTCTGCTTCCCACAATGTTTTAATTTCTGTTTTTGTCATGCTCTGTGAAAGTATGTTATTGCATGTTTGCTTATGATATTTTTATGGGCACTTTTTCCAATTTTTATGTTGGAGTGAGGGTGCTTCTATGTGAAAGGGAAGCATCTGTTTTATTTACTTATTTAAAAAAACCTTATTTCATTGTTTATTTCTTTGGAGCCCTTGGAGTTTATCCACATGCCCTGTCACTTTTTTGTGGAGCTGCTGATATCCTCAGCAGTTACTGGGAGATGACTTCACATTGCATGACCACAGATAATGCCAGCTTCCAAAGTATGACAGACTGGACTTGAATCCAGAGCAGGACGACTCCCTGTGTTACTTTGAAGTGCGTGAGAGCTAGGACTCCTGTTAAGTTGCTGTAAGGCTACTGTTTTTAGAGGAGTTCTATGCTGCCATCTGATTTCCTCGCTTGGGTTAACAACACGGTCATGTTAAGTGGGTATATCAGTGTGAGCTTTCTTTACCACACTAGAAGTGGATGGTGTCCTTACAAGTCTTCAAAAGACGCAGATTAAGAAATGAAGAAAAAGCACAGACAGTTTTTTTTTCTATGTGATGTTTATTGCCCTCTCAGCTGCTTAAGAGGTTGTTAGGACTCTGGTCTGAGCGTTGTCTTGGTGCGGTGTTCTCGTAACCCTGCAAAGGGTCTTCACTTTCATCAGTTCAAAGGTGTCTAGCCCAGTTGAGCCTTACTCTAAGAGATTCTGCTTCCTCCATAGTTGAAAAGCAGTTTGGCTTCTTAAAAGTTTATTTCCTTCTGTGTCTAACTAAATATCTTCTTTAGCATACCAGGGGGCTCTTAGAGCTAGATAAATTCATATCTAAAGCGATACAGACCTCTTGCAACCGTTTTTAGTAGCTGTGTGGTATGCTTATGCTTTGGCAAGGGACACGTTTCTTGTGAATGTTTTGCACTGTCTACTAAATTGGTAACATACTTCTCATAAGCTGTGACTACAGCATCTCGGTGATTGTTACTGATGCCACCTGAGTGTAGCAGTCCTACATGTGGGAGACAATGACCCTAGTTCCTTTCTCTTGAGCAAACAGTAGCATGAATAATTCCAACGTTTTAAGTTGGTGAAGTTTAGATTGTATTCTACACCAGACATACAAAAGCAGTCACAATCTATGCATCATGTGTTTTTATCATCATTGTTTGCTATATGTGTGTATAGGCTAAGTACTCATGTTTTTGTCAGGTGGCTGCATTTGTGTGGGACAAAGTTAAATAATATGACTCGCTGTTTGGTCATGATTTGTTTCAATTTTTCTTTTTCTCTTTTTAGAAAAAAGTGGATCAGTTTGCAAGCATTGTTCTTCTTCCATACCGCTTTACAGATGAAACGAATAAGGTCTTGGTTTTCACAGAGGTCAGTAAGCCTGAATTACTTATTTATAAGTGTCATGAACCCAGCGTGCTCTTGTGTAGGAGCTAGTTGTGTTGTATGTACGGTACTTGGCTTTGAGAAGACTCTTCAAATGCTTTATGGAACTCACAAGCCTGTCAGGGATACATCTTCAGCAGTGTCTTAATATGTTAAAATGGATCTTGAATTTCCTATGTCACGTTATCTTTACACCTGTGGTATATTCTAGCAATGCACTCAAGGAGAAAACATCAGCACAGGTGTGACTAAGGGAGACATGATTAAAGTCTTCTATAGGGTTGAAAACTTTGACCATCCTGTAATAAAGATGGGCAGTTTGATGCAGCAGTCATTTCCATCCCTTAGTAGACAGTGGAAACTAGAAGTGCTTGTTATTCACCATAACTTGTACTGGATCAGAATGCAATTGTGTGATAGTGGGAGGGATTAACTTCTCAAAACAAAACAAAAAACTACCCAAAGCAAGCAACCAATGAAATTAACACAACCTTCCCCACAAATTCTTCATCCTCTGTTGTAGGAGTTCACTAGTGTGATATAGTTTATGGAGCCATTGTCTTACCTGAATGAGGCTAGTGCAGGCTCTCTGCTGTTGTCCTTTGCCCGTTAATTTTTCTAATAGAATAGTTATGTATAATCAACATGAGATTGTCGTAGAGAAGTGCCTTGAATTGAATTTATGACCCTTTCAACTGAGCTTTGATAGATTTTCTACGTAAGCTGCAAGGTGAGAATCCTACAGAACTGAGGCCTGATAAGTATGCCAGGTTCTGTGTTGCAATGTCTCGAAACCTTCTCTCTTAGCCTCAAATTCAATCAGGATAGGACACCCTGTGTTTTCTGAAGGTGTGTATGTGGAAGAAGATTGAGGGACTCCAGTCACACACCACCACTTTCATGTGGAAGGGTGAAGCTAGTCAGCTTTTTCTTGTGAGGGAAACCTTATTTTGACTTTTGGTCAGGAATATCTACCTTTTCCAAAAGCTTGAGCCAAAAACAGATTCCTGCTACTATTTAATTATATTAACTATAAATATACTATTAAAGTATATTAACAGCTAAATCTCACAGAAGAAAAAATGAAGTTTGCTTCAAATAGCATTTAGAATTTAAGTGTTAATAGCAGAGGTAAATAGCCCTATTTTGTAGTGGTTTTAAGTAACATTCTCCATGCTTTTCTTGTAGTATTTAGTGAATGTTGTCTCCATGTAGTGGATAGTTGTCTGTGACTTTCAGAAGATGGTGATAGGAGAGAAAGGGCTTGTGATGAAGTTTTTCCCAAGTGGGATGACTTTTTTTCTCATACTTCACCAGAAGAGGACTGAAGACTTGCCTGTTGCTTCTTACTGGGGCTGGAATTGAGTGGAGTGAGCTGGAGTTGCTGCTCCAGTGTTAAATCTCCAGTGGGATATTTTGAGTCTTTGATTAGTTTTAAGACATTCCTTTGCTTTTGATACAGAGCAATCAGTTGTACTGATGTTAATACACTTGTGGTTTTTTTCCTTCCAACAGAATGAGCAAGAAGCTGAAATAGCTCGAGAGAATGGAGCTGCTGTTGTGGGAGGCATTGAATTAATCAAATGGGTATTTATTTATTTTTAATTAAGTAAATTAAACATTTTAATTTGCCATAGTGACTGATGTGGAAGGAACAAGAAACTTCATGTCCAAAAATCTTTAGCTGGAAGTTAGCAGCCAATATGAACAGTGAAATACTGCTTTGTATGTTCTAACATGTTGGTAAATAGAACTTGTGTATTTGGGTAATTCATTGTATTCCTAAACATATTTGCATTTGTCTTACTGTAGATTTTGGAAGAAGAAATTCAAATGGATTTCTACATAGCTGTTCCTGCAATAATGCCTAAACTGATACCTTTAAGGAGCAAGCTAAAACAAAAATACCCCAGCACAAGAAGAAGTAAGAAGCAAATCTATTTTATAAATCTAAGTACTGGAACAAGATTTAACTCTTGAGGTGACTTTTTTTGAGGACACAGAATTGCATTAAGTATTTTGCTGATGTGACTGAGCCACATGTTTTGTCTTATGAGAGTTGCTTTAGGGAGCCCTCTTTCTCCTACAACACAAATATTGGGATTACAGTCAATGTTAGTTTGTCAACTAGTTGTGCGTGTCATTCTGTATATGATCAGCTGTAATAGTACTATGAACTTTGTGTGACAAACTTAAGAAAATAGAAGCAGCTTGTTAAGTGTGTTCACTGAGGTGGTTATGTTGTTTAACAGTTGTTGGATCCCATCTTCATCACTGCTTGTTGTGTTTGTGCTTCTGAATAACAATGTTCTTCATGCTTTTTGTTAGTGTAACTTGTTCACTTATCTGCATGTCATTCCCTTTTTATTATGCACGAGAAACTTTCTATTCAGGTCAGATTCTCTGAGCATCAAATGTCAGTCTCTAAATATTTTTCATCTCCCTTACTTATTTTAGGGGTTTGTTTCTTATGTAGATGCGTCAGTTTCTTAAAGCAGTAAATCTTGACTCAGATTCTCACTTACCTTCTCCCAGCTGTCTTAACGCAGCTTTCACAAGCTGCAGGCACTGCTCTTGGCCTCCTGAATGTTTGCAGCAAATGTATTAGCCTGTCCAAAGCATTACAACAGAATACTCCAGATGTTTCTGTAAAAATGAAAGCTGTATTATTTTATTATGAACTTGTTTAGTTTGTGGGTTCCTGATGGCTGATTTATCTTGGAGCCTTCCAAAGACATGTGGGAGAAATAATACTTGCAGTTGAAGCAATTGAGTGATGTTGTAAATCTGTCAAATAAGTTTCTGCAGCTGAGATAACAAAACCAGCTGTCTTTACTTGTGCAATGACTGCACTGGGCCATAGTGTTTCAGGTAGAGTGTAATCTTGCTAAAACACAGTTGTATACTGTGTTTCCAAGGCAGATGCTTAGAGATGGTTCTGAGTTGAACTTAGATACCAGTCTTCCAAATAATTATACTAGGTAACAAAGACTACATATGTATGCTCTTCACAAGTTTTTTTATTTGAAGTGAGATATGAGTTACATATTTAATTATTCTACTATATCATCTGTGAAGATTTGCTGATCAATGAAGAAGGAGGGAAAATGGAGGCAGATTTTAATAGAAAACATGCAAACAGCTTTTTTGTTTGGTGCTTAATTGCTTTAAGGTGAAACACTGAATTCTCCCTTTTCTAATAGTGTGTTCTGCCCTCGTAGTAAGTATCAACTTTTTCGTTGTCTTTTTTAATTAGATTCCCTGGGCCATGATATTCCCAAAATGCTACAGTTCTTCAGAGAAGGTCTTGAGTACATGGTACAAGATGAGCGTCTAATCAAGACAAGGATAGCAAGAGTAAGTGGTAATGGGGAGTTCTGCTGTCCTGTTGAGTAGAGCTGAAGTTAATACTGAAACAGAAAAGTTTTTGTCCTGTGCATTCCCAAGATTAAGTATTGTTTTACTGACCTATGAAGTAAATGAAACTTGTGTAGTGTCTTCAGCTGATGTGAGCACTGTATGTCATTAAAGTACAGTGATGGAAGATGGCTCCACTTAGACTGAGAGTGATACATATCTAATGCTGAGAAGTTAAGGATGCTGAGAATGGGATCTGTGATTGCTGTTCTATTGGTGGTGAATTGTAATAATGAACAAAATAAGATGCAACTCGAATTCCAAATGTGCCCTATTCCTAGCAAGCCCTATAGCATTTCTGCTTTTAATGCATCCTTCCCCAACCCCAACACTTCTATGTGGAGAAAACACATTTTTATTTGTGTAGTTAATGATTTATGGGTTATAAGTCTGTAGAGTATGCACAAAGGGAACAGAAAGTATTCACTTGACCCTAATAATTAAGGACTGTTTTCATTTTGAAATTTTCAGACCTAGTTCAATTTCAAAAACTTTGATCCTGGTTCAGGGCAGGAAAAAGCTAATTCCACCACACCTTAAATATCACAAAATTAATCTGTGCTTTAACTACTGCCATGTAAGAAACTGAGTTCTAGAAAAGCATTTTTTCTTCTCTTACAGGCTTTTAGTCCTTCTCCTTAAGAGTTCTTTTTTCTGTTCTGAATTGTTATGTTTCCATTCTGTTATGTCTGTTTGTAATCCTGCCTATATTTAACTTTCCATTAACTGATACTGGTGTGGAAAGGAAGTTTATGAGACTTTTAATCTCTGCAGTTTTGTCTGGTACTGGTAGAGATAAGCAAGCCTGTTAATTTTGGCTAGCTCCTGTGAATTGTGCATGTGAATTTAAAGGACCTGTTCTTATATACAGTACTCAAAGCTGAGGTTTTCAGGATGGTTCTCCTAAAATATGGAATGTATTACATTTTCATACAGACAGGTTACATCTTAATCTGTATGCAAGTCTAAGTGACTGTGAAACACCACGAATCCATAGATGTCTTTGTTTCTAGCATTTTGAACATATTTCATGTTGCTTTTGCTTTGGACTAAATTTTAGTCCTTTAACTTTCCTCATCTTGTATTGTAGATCAGCCTTTAAAATACCTGCAAATTAAGGCTCTTTTATTTTTCTATTCATTTATTTATAAAGGGTTAAAAAAAACCACAGGTTTGAATGGAAGTGATCAAAGAACTCAGATGGTTTGATAGCATTTGAAGCAATTGCAGTTGGTTTTAGTTATTATACCTTCTTACTGCTGTGGTTAGGGTGTCTGTAACTTAAACCGTGTTGTTACTGATATAAGATGCTGGTGCTACAAGGCAACTTACGTTCTGGGCGTGGCCTGAGATGTCATTTAAAAATTTTTTTAATTAGTAAATAGCAGGTTCTTGTGAGTGAGCTCTTAATCTTGGTTTGGAAGCAGTATGATGGGGATTTACTTGTGCACAGTTGAGCTGTGGCAAGATACTGTCAGCTACGTGGCAGAGGTGACTCCAGCACAGCACATGTGACGTGTTCAGAGAGCTGTATGCAGAAAGATGTCTGTGGCTACGGCTTGCATAAAGTGTCTCCACCCTCTGTAGCTGCTCTCCTTTGCCTGACCTAGTTGTGCTGTTTGTGCAGCGGCGCTGAGAGGAAATCTGCTCTAGGCAAGGCTCTGGGAGCTTTGCGTGGTTATGCATGTCTGCTCACCACTAAATCTAGAGCTCTTTACATTTAAACCTTGCCAGTGAGGAAAATAATCATTTGTGAATTACACAGAGACATGAAGATATATTGCTGTTTTCCAGGTGGTACTGTAGATGTTTCTGGGACTCTGCTAAGCTGGCATTTCTCAAAGAGATGTTTTCCCTTTAGTGCTGCTGTCTTATGTTGCCTGTTAGTTCAATTACGGCCAATAGCTTGAAGTTGTGCTGTACTCCCACATAAGTCAGCAGCCTTAATGGTGTTTTCTTATGTAGTAAGTAATTGAGATGTCTTGGAGAAGCCTGGGAGTTGGCAGTAGTTAGATTTAATTAGTAGATCTGGAGTTGTGAAACTGAGAATGTAAAATGTTCTTTTGAGACATGGAGCTTAAAGCAGAAGGGAGGCAAAATGAGAATGCTCAAGATATCCCCTTCAAAATCATGCTATCTGAAGAGGGCAGCTTAAAGTAATTTTTATTGAGGATTTTGGCACTGCTTTTGAATTTAGATAGGGTGCTACAATTTTCTTTTCTCCCAAGTTGGAGATGCTTAGAAAAATCAGAATGCAAATAAATGTGACACCGAAAAGAAGTTTCCAGTTTGTTTTCCTGTCTGTGCAGAGAGCTGCCTGGGAAATGGTTCTTCTATGAAACAGAGCAAGATGATTCTGAGAGGTGAGAATTGTTTTGTTTGCTTTTGGAAGCATATTGTATACCTTTTGTGAATGGATGGTTTGTACAGAAGCACTATTTCATTTGTAGGGTAGAAGTACAGAGAGATGAGACTGAATCAGAGATCTCTGCAATTTGGTATATGGGATATACAAGTGAGTGGAAGTCTACATGGGGAACAGAAATAGCAGTCTGCACTAGAGGTAGGATGTTGAAGGAACTGTTTCTGAGCAAATCCACCTTTGGGTAGGTCCAGGTGTTACAGCCATTCAGCCTTCTGTTATCCACCTAGTGAGTCTGTCCATCTAGTGAGAGTTGAAGGTCTCGCACAGATCCTGATGGTTTGCACAGTCCTGAGAATGATGTTTTCCTAGTCATCAATTACTGGCCAACGGCTTGAATTTGGAACAAAAAGAGGAATGGAAGGTGTGGAAGAAATTGTAGCAAGCTGAATTAGAGCTAGGAAATAGTGCTTTACAACTGTGAGGACCAAGGGCACAGCTGCAATAAGGGTTGTTCTAGCCTGCATTTTTGCCTTTCCTACTATTATCTCTGAAGCAGCAGTATTACAGCTACTACCTCTGAAATGCATTCCACTTCAGTGCCAGGATGAGAAGATGGGATCTACAGGGTCTATGTTAGTTTAGATTCCTACTGAGAGCTGTTTTGGTTTGGGATTTTTTTTTGCTTTTTCCTCTACTTCTTGCTGACTTTATCAGGAAGACTTGTAACTAAGCAGAAGCCTGTGGAAAGCAAGACAGCACAAAATAGGTCAGTGCTCATCTCTAATACTGGCTGTCCTCCAGATGTTCTTACAGGAACATTCATCTACCATGTGTGTCAGCACTTAGCTATTGGTTTGGGGGCTTTCTTTTCTTCTTGAAAGAAGAGAAGCTCTGGTTTCTGCCCTCGTTGTGTAATGAAAGACATTTGACTCTCTGGATAATCATGAAATGTAGTTGTTTTGTTATGCTGGTCCAACTCAAAATAAAATTTGTTAGGAGTAGCTCTAAACCTGTACTGAAGAGGTTTTACTAACATTTTTCTATAGAAGCCTCTGAGGACCAGTTCCTGGAGTTCAGCCAAGCCAAGTGTTTCTCTTGAAATAGGAGAAAAAGTGGTTTTACTTGAATAGTGCAGAGATGTGCAGAGGTCATGTATTACTACAGGATGCCAGTCACAGTACCCTTGTTAATTACTTGACACCTTACTGAGCTCCTGAAATGTCTCACTATTCATGTGAACTAAAAGGTGAAATGCATTGCTGTTCATTTCTTATTAGCACTAGGAGACAAAGGGAACTCAGAAAACAGAGCCGGGAACTCATGCCTCTCTGTGAGCTTATTTCTTGTTTTGCAGTTGACTGCAATACATTTTTATTTATTATAGGTAGTTGGAATTCTGGATCTTGCAAGTGAAGAAAGCAGAACTTGAAATGCTGTCTGTTCTTGTTAGTTTGTCTTAGAAGGGTTGTAACAGGGCATTTGGGATAGTTTTTTTGTTTTTTAAATTTCCTCTCAGTGCAGCTTTAAGCCCAGTTCAAGTGCTTTGAGAACTGATTCAGGTTTCTGGTTGAATGACTACAGCCCAGGTCTCTTGCATGCCATGAGATAAAGCCATAAGAATTCCAGTTCCAGTTCTGGAACAGATAATTATTGACTGCATTGTCCTGTAAGACTTCTTTAGTAAGTGGAACTTGAGTTCTGAGTGCAGGTGCTGAAACTATAATTTCTGGATTGTTGCAGCATTTAATGTAGGAGCCTCAGTCCTATGGCTGTGTTGAGGTGGGAAGGAGGCTGAGGAAGTTAAGGAAGAGGCTGAAAAAGGTTCTGGCTTCCTCACAAGAATGCATAATTTTTTCTGGGAGTGGAGGGTGGACTGATGTGCCTTGCTGTATAAGGCTCTTGGGATGACAGTATTTTAGGAATGTTCATGTTATTGCATATATTCTTTATACTGACAGCTGGAAGAAGAGACAGTGTGGGAGTGAGACAGAGGCTCGAGCTCTATAGCTCCTTTATATTTCGTGAATGTGATGTGAAATTACTGTTGTCTGAACTGAAAGTGACTGGTAGATGTGCAGAGGAGGAAGAAGAAAAGGTGCTCTCTGCCTTCTCCAGGTTTTCCTGCCCTGCCATGGCTGGCATTTCCTTTGTGTGTGTTACATGTAACACACAGTGGTTACATTGGTAGCTCAGATTCACTGGCACTACCAATCTCCTGATACAACTCCCTAAGTACAGTTCAGAAAAACAGCTCAATTTATTGTTTTAATACAGAGCATCTTTTAGTTCTTCATTTGCAGATGTAGCCAGCAAATAGGCAAGTGCCTTTTCTGTGTATTCAGTTGCTTGCTTCTAAAGATTCCCAAATGTGATGTTTAAAACTCTACTTATGAAGCCTCAGCAGAGGTAGTGAGAGACCCTGTTGAAGAAGCATGTTTCGTACAAACAAGGAAGAATGAACTCTATTGACCCTGCTTACAGCACCTGGTGCTACTCTAGAGAGTGATGTCCTAAACTTAAAGAGTAAGCTGGGAAGAACTTCAGTTTTGTGTTCTGGCTGTAGTACTTATTATCAGTTTTCTAAGCTGCTTTGTGGTTGTTATATACAAAATGGACTAGAATTAGATTAATAGTTGTTTCTTTTGTAGAGTTTCTTATTTGCCAGACTGACTCAGGACCTAAAAATACTGACCAATTCCTATTGGATCAATCTTATGTGTGTCTTGCGCATCTTTAGGTCTGGTCCAGAGTGCTTTTGTCAGCTTAGGTAAGCCTAAAATTAACCTAAATATTTAAGTGCTGAAACATAGTGACTGTACACACACCAAGAGTTACTGTGGGATACTTACTGTGTGGATATAGAAACTACTTTGAAATAGTCAGAACGCTTTGGGAATTACATGTATTCATTATGGTGCCATTGACATATCAAGAAAATTATGGCACACAGGCTGTTGGGATGTGTCATGTTATCTGATGGAATGCAACTTGCTTTGCCCTATTTTCTAATAGTATCAAATATGGGATGTTAGCAGATGTCTTTGTATTTTGAGATAATTGCCTTCTCTCATAACGTGTTGTAGTCTTAAGTTCTTAGAAGGAATTGCAATGTATTGCTTAGGGGAACTTGAAAATTCATTTTCTTTTGAGTTCTTCTAGACTTGATTGCAGATGATAAGTAACTTAACAGTTATAAAGCTGTACAAGTGAAGGCTTACTTGAGACATGAACACAGTGCAAGATTTGGAAGCAAATATTATTCAAACCTTAATTTGAAGTGTAGTTTCTAATTAGTTATTAGTGTTAAATTGTTCCAAGTGCTCCTTTATTTTTAATTCCATTAAGTGTGATCAGTCCGTCAGTGAAGTGAAATGCTCAGCTTTAGCAAACATTTCTATATCTGTTAATTTATGACAGGTTTATCATCATGCTTTGCAATCAGCGTAGCAGTAATAAAAATGAACGACTACTGGCCTGTGTAGCAGAGGAATGGTGTTTGGGGTATAAGTTTGCCAGAAGTACATAAAAAGAGATCAATGGACCAAATCTGGGAGGAGACTACAATGCTTAACAGCATGTCTATTGCAATGAATATATTTATGGATAAATGAGATGGTAATGAAATCTGCTTATGCTGCACTGGGTGGAGTTGGAGAGAAAGATTGGACTCCAGTGATTACTGTACAGTCCACTGTAAGGAAAATAGCATTTTTCTTTCTTCATTCTTCTTCACTTTCTATTACTTCAATTTCTGAAATTTCTAGGAGAAAAAATATTGATTTTCATACAAGTGAAGATATCTGGATTGTATGGGTGAAACCAGAGGGCAGACTAAATATGACATTGCAGGACATTATGCTTCCAGAACATTAAGTCTGGGAAATGCGTATTCAGCTCTCCAAGAGCTGTGGCCCTGGATCTGAACCCAGGGTGTTCGGGTTTGTCTCTTCCTCATGAGTTGCTCACTGTTAAGGTGTGTCCATACAAGATGAACAGAAGTTGTGGTTTGAGGTGTTTAATATCTGAGAAAGTAATACTTTTTTGGCAGTGGTGCTGGTTCGCTCCCAGATACTTACGATCAATCCAGTGAGGACTGCTTGCGTAGCTGAAGCAATGTGAAAGTCCTTTGTTACTTAAGGATACTGTGCAGAACGAGGAGTCACCAGTCCATGGTTTATTTGGTTGGAAGATCAAAAAAGCCATGGATGAAAACTGAGGTGTATAAAAAGTAGTTGCAAATTGGTCCATGCTTTGTGCTTAGTACACATGCTGCAAGTAGTATATTGAAAGTAAAAAATGAAGCAGAGCTCCAATTTTTGTGGTTTTTTAAATGATTTCTTTTGTTCAGTCATACCTTAATGCCTTCAATTTAAAGTGCTTTTATTTTTTTGGAGTTGATCTATTTTGTATTTTGACAGCTATTTCTTGATGCTTATTTCTTCAAATATTGAATTTCCTTTAATTTTGAAAAAGTGCTTATGTGCATTACTTTTAGAACATCTTTAAGGCTACATGTATATGGAGCTATGGAAATATGTATTTCTTGAATGTCATGAGTAGAAAGATAGAAATAATGAAGAGCATATAACCTCATAAAATACTTCTGAGACACTTTGATAAGGCTGTTAATGGGATGTCTAACTCTTTAACAGGAATACAGAATCATAGGATGGTTTGGGTTGGAAGAGACCTTAAACATCATAGTTACAACCCCCTGCTATAGGCAGGGACAGCTCCCATAGGGCAGGTTGCTCACAGCCCCATCCAGCCTGGCCTTGAATGCCTCCATTGAGGAGGCATCCACAGCCTCACTGGGAAACCTGTTCTAGTGTCTCACTGCCCTCACAGTAAAAATTATCGTCCTAATATCTAGTCTAAATCCACCCTCTTCTAGTCTAGAGCCGTATTCCCTCATCCTGTTGCTTCATACCTTCATTAAAAAAAAAAAGCCTCTCTCCAGCTTTCCTGTAGGCCCCCTTCAGGTACTGGAAGGCTGCTGTAAGGTCCCCCTGGAGCATTCTCTTCCCCAGGCTGAAGAGCCCCAGCTTCCTCAGCCTGTCTTCATAGGGGAGGTGCTCCAGCCCTTTGATCATATTTGTGGCCCTCCTCTGGACCCACTTAGCTTGATATCCTAGGGAAATAGCTTGATGTTCCCAGAAGAAAAAAAATACTTATCCAAATACAGAATTCATATATACCCAGTACCTTCAGGTATATCTGTGTAGGCTTTAAGAGCATCGTGGCTAATTCTGTGTTAATGTTTTTCAGCTGGATATGCCTTCTGAGCAGATAGTTGCCAATCTAAAAGCAATTATTGAGGATATCTGCAAGTTCAAACCATCAAGTGCTGGTAAGCAGCTATTCCTTTGATCTATTAGTTGAAGCTGTTGAATCAAAATGAAGAAGCAGATGTTAATCAGGATGTAATTAATGGCCTCATTGCTTTTTCTGCTTCGGATGGGAGAAGGGAGCTATTGGGTAACTCAGTGAATCATAACTTAAGAACTGGACAGCCCATGAGGGCATTGATAGTGTGCTCTTCTGATGTCAGCTCTTGTTGCACTACAGAACTGTGGTGATGTGCAAAACTAAATTTGCAAGGTTGATTTTTTTTTTAAAATAGCTTTTAGCCATACAGTGAAATCTGCATAAGTCATAAAGGCCTTCAGAGTCTGTGTGGATTGGTTTTGCTCACTGGCATGACCCCTCTGGAGCTCAGCACAAAGAATATGAACTCAGAATCACAGAATCCACCTCTAGTTATTAAAGAGGATTCCTGTGCTTCAGCTGACATTAATCTGATGCTAGCTACCTGCTTGAAGGTATGCTGCACTTTAATTAATGGTGTTTATTCATCAATTAGACCAGCTTAGTTAACGAAGGGTGAGCTCTTTTCATAGTGTTTTGCTTCCTCTGTAGTATCTAGCTTATGGTGTGAGCCTTTGTTTGATTGTTTGTTTTTACTGGTTTAAAAAATATTTGCAATGTGTAGGATGCAGGCATGTTCCTTAAAGTATCCTTACAGCAATGGAATCTATGTAGGCTTGATAACTGTCAATCACTTAGCTACAAGTTTCTGATTCTTTCAGATTATCTGTATGTGCTAGCATGTTTTTATGCAGCTGTGCAGTTAGCACTAAAACAGCATTCCTCTGCAAATCACTTCAACTATTGGAAGACTCAAAATACTACTAGGCATGTGTTTTTGGAGTATACGTAGATACACTTCCACTAAGAAACTGGACTATTTCTGTAGTTGCTCTTGTCAAAAGACTCGCTCAATGTTTGGTGGTAGGATGCTGAAATAGTATAGGTTTCTTCTATGCCCTCTGTCATGTATGAGTATTTCTGTGATCAGCAAGTGCCTAATTAATTTTCATGAAGCTGCAAATAGAGGAAAAACAATTGTAATGTGTTTTGGAACCTACATTTGTGCCCGTGTGATCACTTTGACTAGAATTAGATTGTTAGGAAGAGGGCTTTATTGTTGTAAATAAGGAATTGTAAGCAGTTGGAAGCCAAGCTGCGTAGAGATGGTATTGACAGAATGAAGATATGAGGTTTGCCATAGAGAATGTTATGTTTGCTGTATGTAGGAAGAATGTGTTGTTAGTTTATCTGCCATCACTTATTCTATTTCAGTATTTTGATCAATTTTGATCTACTTGTGTGGTTCTGCTTCAGGTCATACATTGACAGAATCTGGATTAGTACTAAGATAAATCAGTATGAAGACATGAAAACTGATGGAGTAACTAAATAGCTGGTATTCTTTGTTTTCTTAGGTCCCTTTGTGAAGAAGCTGGTTATTAGATCTTCAACCAGTGAGGGCTTACTATTGAACCTTGATGGACTTCTCCCTGAGGTAGAGAAAGCAGAAGAAAAAGAAGAAGAAAGTGTAGAAGATGAAGAAAAACCTGTCCAAGAATCTGTTAGTACCTGATGCCTTTCCTTGTGCATCTGATGATCAAGTTTGAAAAGCAAATGGTGTGGTTAAAATCATATTCTGTGAAAAGAAAAAAAAATAAATCTGTGACTTTCATTTTTAAAATTCTGTGTGACAAGAAATTGTCAGAAACAGGAGTCTGTCAAAACTGAAGACATCTTAAGCTTTTTCTGTTGGTAGCTGAAAGCTTTCTAATTTGCATCTAGTTTTTTCTTTGCATATGATAATTCTTAGTCTAATAAAATTTTGTACTATAAACTGAGTTATCACCAACCAATTTCCACAGTTAGAGCTGAAAGACAAGCCCACCTCATATCCATAGTGCTGGGTTTCCTTCCTACTTCGTAGAAATTGCGGAATGTTCAGTACTTCTGTACATTACTCAGTCCCACACAGAGAAACTAATGCAGTGGGAAGCTGCTGTATAACTTGCAAAGAGAAGGAAGCTAGGGTTTAATTTACTGTCTTATTTTCTGCAGCATCAGGGATGAATTTGCTTTTGGGTTGGTGGGAGCTGCATCTTCCTGGTGCTTGTGGTATCCAACTTTGTTTTTATTTGATCTAAACATAGATACTGAAGTGATGTGTAGAGAACTGTTGCCTCACTAGGCACTCTGAAGCTACCTCCTGCTTCTTAATGCAGGATAGTCTTTGTGACATACTGTAGGAGTTGATATCTTTTTTTTTCCCCCACAGAAAAAAAATGGGATATCTTATGTGAGACAAATGATTGTGCAACATTTTTCTAATAACATTTAATCCCCGTGTAACTGATTATACCTTTTAGGGAATCCAATTACTGTTTGTTATATGCAGGAAAAAATAGTTAGTCCTAGAATCACAGAATATCCTGAGTGGGAAACGATTCACAAGGATTGTAGAATCCAGCTCCTGGCTTTATCCAGGAGCACCTAAAATTTAAACCTTATTTTTGAGAGCATTGTTCAAATGCTCTTTGAACTCTGGCAGCTTGGTGCTGTGACCTCTGCCCTAGGGAGCCTCATCTAGTGTCTGACCACCTCTGGTGAGGAACCTTTTCCTAAAACTCAACCTGACCTTTCTCTAACTGTCATATATTAAACTACTTTAGGGTGAAATCTGAGTGAAGATCCAAAAGTTATGTGTTGATTTGTTGTCTGCCATAAAGGTAGAAAAGCTCTTTTGACAGTCTTGCAGATAACTGCTTGGGGTAAGTGAGTGGATTTGAAGTTGAGAAGGCTTCACAACAATAATAGATCCTCCTGTACAGGTAACTCATAGGAATGCTCGTATGCTATGCTTCATGTTGAGAGATTACCTAAAAATGCTTACTGATGCTTTATGAGGATTTATTGTGTTTCTGTATGGGGGTGGAAAGCACATGAGAGGAGCAGTGAGTTGTTAAGAGGTGTAGGGCCGTGTGCTTGGTTAGTTATTGTGGAGGCGCAGCGGCCCCTGTAGATAGAGGCTCCCCATCCAGCCATTGTATGCAGAAGTGGGGGAGAAAGGCTGTGGAGTCACTTTTGGTCATTCACTAGCTTAACTTGTTACTCTGACTCTTGATATTTCTGGAAACCATTAGATTTGGTGGAAAATCTTGAAAGCAAAGACTTCTCAACTGAAACAGGACTTCGTTAGGAATAGCACAATCTGTGCTAGATTACCAACTAATTAATTATCCTCTTGATGAGGATTAAGCTCTTAAATGTTGCCAAGTTGAGCCTTCAAATATATTTAAGATTTTGCTCTTTGGGTCTAGCCAGTGTGGTAAAACAACAACTATTTTTTTTGCAACAGGTATTAATCATTATGCTTCTAACATAATACTGCTGTTCTGCTGACTTTAACTACAGTTGTGTGGCAATTACTTTGACTTGTTATGGTATCTACTTGGTTTTTTTTTTCCCAGCATTCTTAAATATAAACTGAAGACTAGAGAAGACATCTGGCTGTCTAAAACTATGTGTTTTTCCACCTCCCTGTAGAATGTTTCCAAGCTTTCTTCGTGTTGTTTCCAGCAGGTGGCGTTCTTGTTCCCTCTCTCTCTTAGAGAAAGTGTTTCTCTGATTTTTTTTTCATTCTTTCTTGTTACACATGTGCTAGTACAAATGCATCCAAGAAAATTAATGTGTGTCCAAGAAGGATCAACTATATGAAAAGGGAGAAGGTTATCCAAACTTCATAGGTTTGCTTGTTTTGGGGGCTTTAAATAATTCCTTTTATTGGAGACGAGGATGTGGTTTGTCTCTTTTTTTAATGGGGTTACACATGTCTGCTTTGAAATTGATGCATCCCCATCTGAAGCATTTTGCTGCTGTCAGGGAGGGTGTTTGATGGATTGCTCTTAGGCCACACTGCTATGTTTTTAAATACGTGGAGTGCTTTACACAGTTTTAACATAAAATTGTCTTAAGGGTATAGGAAGGCTTCATCCTCACTTCAGCTGACTTACAGATACATTCAGCCTTATAAACATTATTTTTTGGCTGTGGACTGTGCTCCTACACCTTGCTAGAAAAAATAAAATTCAACCAGTGTTGGTTATGGAAGTGAAGAGTTGGTGCGACTAGCAAGAATGTTGTGTTAAATGTATTCAGTAATGTTACCTGACCTAAACATCCAGTTTGGTCTGATTCAACTTATCAACAAATGAGATGTTGCACGGGGAGATGCTTACTCATCACTACAGAAATGTGTGCATTTCTGATCAACTGAGGCAGAAAAGACAAGTTTCTGAAGATGAGGGATGATCAAGAATTGTAATCAAGAAAAACCGTTTTTTGACGTGTTTAAGGCTTTTTTTTTTTAAGGTTTAAGGAATCTTCTCTCTACCCTATGCTTTAAATAGCTGCTGTGCTTATCACTGGTGGCTGTGTGTGGCTAAGTCTAGCTTATGCTAGCGTAGAGTGGAAAAGCAACTTACTCTCTACAGCAGAAGACTTCGGCTTCTGCCAAGCTTTTCTTAGATCGTGTTCTGCAAGCTCCATGCCTGCACTGTGTCTGATTTCGTTAGCTCAAGAATAGCATTGTGTACAGCTACATCATTTATACTGTAACCTTTTCTCATTTGGAGATTGTGTGGAGAATGTGCTTGTATGAGCAGGGAAGAGCAAACCATGGGAGGTGTGCTTTGTTTTGAGGATGTGTCTCTTAAGCTTCAGTGCATCTCAAATGGATCATGAACAACTGATTAACACTTTAAATTTTAGGGGAGGAATAAAAGGATATTTTATAGGGTCTAGATGTGTAGTTTACAAGATGGATGTTTTTTTAAGTGATAATCAAGCATAAATATACAGGTGAACTTATCTCAGCCTCTGACTGCTTGAGGGTACTTTCAGAGAATTAAAAATATGGAATACGTGTATTCCTGTAAAAAGGCATACTTCAAAATTTTGAATGCTATGGCAATACTAAAAATGTGAATCTCCAGAGATCAGGTGGAAAAAAATACTAATAAACTCATCTAACTTTCAGCTGCATTTATTCAGGTATAATCTTTGCATATTGTAATGTTACTAATTGATGTAGTAACAATGTCCCTAGTTTGTATAATACTGAAATGGCATTATGTAAACGTGTAATATTGTGATTTTATCCTGAAATGCTTTATTGGAATGGAAGAGAGATGAAAAAAAGACAACATGTGGTTATTCCCATTTAACAAGCTTAGTCTAAAAACATGCGGAGTGGGAATTGTTGTACATGTGTTTCTTGTGCCAGTATGCCTTAGAAATCCACTTAATTGCTAAAGTAAGCATAACTAAGATGGCATTTCTTGCTTTTGGAAATGAATACTAGTGTACTATTTGCTCAGTTTGTTTTTGTAGTGCCTTACTGGTTTCTGATTAGTTACAGCATTACATGAAACTGTTTATCTGTCCTAAATGTTGAGTTATTGGAAATCAAGTAAGATAAGAGGTAACCTTTTACCAGATTTTCTGTTAATGAATGCTTAGTACCTCCTTTGGTAGGTAAACAGAGCGCGGATCTTCTATCAAAAGCAAAACTGCATTAGGCAGTCCTGGCCTACAGAAATGCATGGCAAAGCAAGAGATGATGTGTTACAAGGCAATAACCTGTCTCTACTGTTTTTGTGTAATATTACTTGCAGTAAGTACAAACACATATTAAGTAAGTCTTTAATGAAGGGTACTCCGAGTAAACTCTTAATATGAAGTTAGACCTAAGAGCAGCTACTTTTGGCTGCTGTAGAGCAGCTGACAAGTCTCTAAATGGTATTTTCTGTTAGCAAGCCATACTTTGCTGTGCATGTATTGCCATCAGCAAGAAGGGAGAGATGCCTGGGAAAATGGATAGAAGGACAAGGCAGTTTTTCATTACGCTGCTCAAGTGAAGAATGCTCACCAGAGGGTCCAATTCTTCTCCCAAAGTGTTGTCTGTTCTTCATTCTATCCCGTCCAACTTTACTTAGTATAATCCAAGCTATGCTGAATTTAGTTGGCAGCTGCATTCCAGCCAAAAATATGTATTGAGGAAGCATCAGGTTACTAAATTAAAGATCATTCTCTCTTTGCTTCCACAGGTATGCTATGAGTGTAAGAAACCAGGAGGTTATGTATGGCACTTGGAATAGCCACTATTTGAATACTGAGAAATGTTCCCTCTGGAAATAAGGGAGTGCTGCAATACACTTAGTAATGTAAACGATGTACGATTGCTTTTTAAATTACTGTATATGAGGCTGCTGTTACTTTAATGAAGGAGAAGCAGGCAAAGAACTGAAATTCACAGTTGATACTTATAGAAGTATGTGCCCAAACAAGGAAGAAATTGTGGTGGAAACATGCATGCAGTTGTGGGGAATGAAGGGTTTAGGCTCACAGCCTAAACCTGGACTTGTACGGGAATTAGTTGCACTCCAGAAAGTTTCAATCTGTGTAGGTCAAACTGAGTTCATAGAGCTTTTACTGTAAACTATGGGATGGAGGTGAAGTTGCAGCAGGATAGAGATACTGCAAATACAGTGTTAAATCTGATGAAAGGAAGGCTAGCTGCTCTGTACCCTCTGGAAATTTTTCCAGGCTGCTCACTGTTGGAAGTAGCACTAGTTTCACAGCTGCTGTTCTGTTATACTGTAATAGCAGAAACGTCCAAAATGTCAAGAAATGTCAGCCTTGTCAAATTGAGGATGCATACATTCTTGCTAATTTTCCCAGAATAAGAGCTGTGAAGTTATACTTTATGTATATCTGTATCTGCTCTTATAGGTAGGCTTGTATGAGATACCAGGCTGAGCACTTCATCTGAAGCCTACAAAACTGCTTGGAAAGATCTGGGAACAGTATGCTGCTTATCCAGATGATGTCACTGGTGAAGTCTTGTGCAAACATCAAATTGTGCCTGCAAGGAGTAAGGACTTTCTAAATGCTGAGGCAGGCTTTATTTGTTACATGACATGCATAGAAACAGTAAAAAGGTCAAGGTAATTCTGTCATTAGTGAAGTCCTTGACTAA